CACACACACACACACACACACACACACACACACTTGCAGGGAAGAGGACAATATAGCACAGGGCCGATGGAAATGCGAATTTGTGGTGCCTCACGGCTGCGGGGGCATTGCAGAAAGATGGCTGCCCGTCATGAGGGCATATGGCACAGGGCCCGACCGTCAGTCCAAGGAGGGCGTCTTGGAAAGTTGTGGTCACTACCGACAGGGGCCTGCATAAAATATTTTTTGGCCCAGGGGCGCGATAGGGTAAATCAGTCGTCGGAGGGGCGCGACAAGAAATAACGCAAATTGCAGGGGCGCCAGACAAATTTTCCCTATTGAATTTGAATGAATAAAAACGTAGCCTTGAAGACGAGCAGACAAATCAGACCCCCACTAGCGCCCCCAACCCTATACCCTAACCATTAGGGGCAACGGGCAACATGAAATCTCCCCTTCACAGAGAGAGGAAAACTATGCTTGCAGGGGTCCCCTCTAGATAGTCTTAGGAGTAGGTAGTGGAAGGTAAACAAACAGAAGTTGAGAGAAGAATATAGACAGTTGTGATCACCCCAATAAAATTAAAAAAAAAAAAAAAAAAAAAAATCTTGAAATCCAGCAGCCTAGCTCAGTTGGTTAGGCACGCAAGTGGCATTCAGGAGTTTGTGGGTTGGAGCCCAATGACCGGCCTGCGGCGCACGTAGAGCCAACCGACTGTGATAGTCCGCTTGATACCCCTAATCGGTCTTAGTAGGGTCTATGACCAACACGGGTGTGACTGTGAGCGTGAGTGGGCTGTGTGTAGTGGGGGGGGGAGTGTTGGCCACAGCCACTGCTGCTACTCGATTTGGGGTGAAAAAAAGTAGAGAAAACTACGGCGCAGTCAGGGTTTGAGTTTGTAATTGCACTTGAGGCAAAAGGGCCGGTAATGCTAAATGTATATGACCTACGTTTCGGGTTCGGTGGGGTCACATGGGGGTGTGTTGTATTCGCGAGATTGCCTGAAGTGCAATTACAAACTGTTTTCGTGACTGCGCCGAAGTTACCCTAAAAAAATAGATCAAAAGGTGCAGCTACTGGCGAAGTCCTTGGTCTCTGCGTTAGTCGATCCCCCACACCAGCAGCCTCACACTATTCCCTGACCACCACCGATTAGGCCAGGGGGCAACATGCATCCCAAGGGTCCCCTGTATAGGCTTACGAGCAGTGGTACATAGATAGTAAAAGGTGAAATTGAGAGGGGGAAAAAAAAGGGGTAACTACGACACAGTCACGAAAGCAGTTTGTAATTGCATTTTAAACTGCGTTTTAACAGTTTAGTCAGGGTCCGAGTTTCAAATGCAGTTGAAACTTAGACTGGCTCATTTTAACAGTTCCGTCAGGCACGTGGCCCCTTTTTTTTACGTTTTTTTTTTTTTTTTTTTTTCCCGCCCCCTCAGACGTGGCCGAGATATCTTGGCCATGGCCCGCCACACAATGAGATGTTTTTTTCTTCTTTTTTTTTCCTCGAGCTTGGCCAAGACATCTCGCCCGTGGCCCCTCCACTCAACGGGGGGGATAAAAAAAGGGGTCACGTGCCTGACTAAACTGCTAAAAACGGTCAACCCGAGTTTCAACTGCATTTGAAACTCGGGGCATGAGTAAACTGCTAAAACGCAGTTTGAAATGCAATTACAAACTGTAAATCTAATTGCGTTGTAGTTTTCTCTAAAAAACAAAAGACGCTCCAATTGAATACCCTTCTCGGCATTACAACCACTTTAACAATAAAAGTGTTTTCATTTGGAGGATTGATGTCTAGTCAAACGTTGTCCTTGAAAACTTTATTCAGTGTTCAAAGCTCCCCTAAGTTGTTGACGAATTTGTCAGCATTTGCACAAAAACCTGCTCCTTTGGAACGTCAATTTCGTTATCAAACCGCACAAGAGCCTCCACCTCCAGAGGCTCTGGAATATGAGATTGGAGATAAAATTTTTATGGACATTGCCTAATTGTCGGGTCCTATCGTTTGTCGAGATGACCATACGACGTGGATGATGACACATGGGGCTACGACATCGTGTCGCATCCGTAATACTTTCATTGGCAAAAATCATCAAACAAGACGGGGAGTGAACATTTTGTTCTCATCGACGTATGCCTCAATCGAAATTTTATAGACATGTTGAGGACCAGATCGGGGTGAGGCTTGCTCGACTAAATCTTGTTATTTCTCGATCAAGATTGACAACAATAGAAAAGGAGATTTTTAAGCAACTCAAAGCACTGCCGCACCTCGAGTATTTATAAGAGTTATATGATAGAGAAACACATAGATACAACTGACATCTCGAAGAGGGCGATGAGCTCGGAGGGGAAAAATGATAAGACCCCAACAATGGTGCAAGTGGAGAGGGGTCATACAACTGGTATCTTGAAGAAGACGATGAGCTCGAAAGGGGAAAGGATAAGGCCCCAGCAATGGCGCAAGTGGAGATTGATCTCGACCGCCAAGTGGTGGTGAGCGAGGATATCATAAAAGCGGGAGTGGTGAAGATGGAGGGACGTCACAAATGTCTAGTGTTAGTCAACCAACAAGGCATATGATAGAAGGGCAACCGCATTGACAACATAAAGGAGGTGGTGGTCCTGTTGGAGGACATACCGTGACCGATGTTGGTAGTTTGCAACAGATGAAACTGTCCTTGACTGGAGAAGGATAAGTTGATCGACGTGAACTTGAAGGTGGACATAGTGTCAGCCCAACAATCATATATGTCACTATAAAAAATATCATATGGTGTGATACTAGAGGAGCAAGCGTCTTCCCAGTTAACGAGAAGACCAGTATTGGTTGCCCGCATGACCACGTATGAGAGTCAATTAATATTATCATCTGTGGGTTGGAAAGTTAGACGCGACTTAGGATATCAATGGAGGACGTCGTGTTCGGGGGAAGTTGGAAGCACAGGTCGAGCCTAATATTTAATTGGATGAAGAAACACTCAGAGGGGACTTGAAAATTCCTACCGAATTTCGAAGTCCGATGTTATTTGAGAAGTCAAGAGGAAGGTCTATCGCGGGAAAAAGTGACGCTTAAAAGGGCCTCGTAGGAAAACTAACAATCCAAGTACCAGACGTAAAATAGGACGAAGAACATATTGTATTAACTACGCCAAAGCAACATATGCATGTGGAGAAAACCAAAAAGAAAAAACTTCTAAATTATGTACAACACTTAACCACACTTGTTGAAGTCGTCATAACCATCGAAGAATCCCCTGTCACATAAAACTATATGAGACTCGGAGGTGTGATACAAGACCATGTTGAAGGGAATATGGCTGTTAGTCGCCGAGGTGAGCACTTACCTCACTTAGGGAACATATGTGTAGTATTGTGTGTAAAGTGTGAAATAATCATTTTATTTGGTAGACTTTGTTAAACTCATTTCATGTTCATTTGCATTCATATACTGTGTGTTTGTAGCATGTATGTATCAGTAACATGAAGAAAGAGATTGGTTAATAATGCTTTGTTGCTAATAATGTTCATTTGCATTCATATTGTTTAAGTGAACGTCAACTCATATTACTTGTCACTTTCAGTCAAGATTGTGGTCTCTACGTTGATCAATGTGCAAGTCTGCATAAGAGATTGTGGAAAGCGCCTTACAAAGGAACAATGACATAATGTTATTTGTTGTGGCTTGCAAGCTTTGTCAACGCTGCCATTATCGCCCCAAAAAATTAGAAAACGCTCCAAACACGTGGATCTTGTTTGTGAAGCCAGCTGGCCTAAAGATGTTTCAAGTTGTGGGAATAGGCATCAAACACGGGAAGCAATTGCATCACGAATATTGCATTGTATCTATTGTAGAAAGCAGCAGTGACAACAAAATAGACAAGCAAGCACCATCATGAACCCGTGTTCATTTCTTGTCTCAATTCTCATAAAGGCACCACTTGTATGAAAGTTTTGGACATACCATTGTTGTTTACGTGTGTGTTTATATGCAGCGTTTGACTCGTTGTTCCAGATCCGCTTAGTGACGGTACGCCCCATTGAGGTACAATGCAACATGTTGAAAAAATTGTGAGCAGCGGTGAAGATAACGAAAAAT